CACTAACAAGGCCCTGGGCTCCAACCCAGCACTGAAAGAAAATAAATAAAATAGAAGATAAGACAGAAACACAGAGAGGGATGCACGTGCGAGGCCAGAGGAAGAAGCCAGCCCCCACAGGCCGAGACTTCCGCCTCCAGACCCGGAGGACAGCTTTTCTGCGGCTTACGTCCCCAGGCCTGTGCTACCACTGCCTTGGGACTCCTCGGCCCTGGCAAGGCCCACAGGCCAGACTGCTGCTTCTACAGGATGCCCCGTGTGCTCTGGCCCAATGGTGGCATCCGCTACTGGCCCGAATTATTTTATTATTGCATTTTATTTTTTCATGTTTTGCAGTACTCAGGTTTGCACCCAGGGCCCTTGCACTGAGCTACAGGGCAAGGCAGATAGCTCAGCAGCATAGGTGCCTTCCTGGCAAGTACAAGGTCCTGAGTTTGGTCCCTGATACCTAAAAAAAAAAAAAAAAAAAAAAAAAGATGGGGGTGCACTGAGCTACATTCCCAGCCCCTCTCTTTTAAGACAGGCTTTACTGCATAGGCCAGGCTGGCCTGAAACTCAGTGAGTCTCCTGCCTCAGCCTCCCAAGTGCTGGGGCTACAGACCACGCTTGCCTATTGTCATGAAATATTGCAAAATTGTAAGTTTTCTCTTTGGGTTAGTCTGTCCACATCTGTGGAATTTTTCTCTGATGAAGAATTTTTTCCTCACCAACCAATGCTAGCTGGTTACATGGCAGTGCAGCGCCTCTGAGAGGTGTGGTGAATGCCAAACGTGGAAGGCTTCTCCACGGTGGCAAATTTTCAGTCTAAGCAGTTGGTGTCCTAGTTACCCCCAGTGGTGACAGTGACATTTTGTTTATCTTGTTGCTCTGTACTGTTCTTGTCCTCGTCACTGTAAACTCCTGGCTTTTCTTATACTGCTGGCCCCTCTGTACCTGTGGATCCCTCATGCGGAGATTGTAGCAGCCACAGATTAAAAATATTTGTGAGCTCTTGCAGTTGAGGGCTGGGTGTGCTGGCACATGCCTGTAATCCCAGCCCTTCGGAAGCTGAGGCAGGAGGATCGCCATGAGTTCAAAGCAGTCTGGGCTACACAGTGAGTTAAAACCCAGCCTGGACTGTATAGTGAGACCCCGTCTCAAAAACCAGAAAACAAAAACACAGAGAGCAGTGCATCTTAGCTGGGTGTGGCAATGTACAACTATGGCCCCAGCTGCTCGGAGGCTGAGGCAGGAGGATTCCAAGTCTGAGACTAGTCTGGGCAAAATAAAAAATAAGATGGGCTCAGGGTGTATCTCAGTGGTTAGTGCTTGCCTAGCATGCAGGATGCCCTTGGTGGCTTCCCCAGCACAAATATATACATATATATATATATATATATATATATATATATATATATAACTTAAAATATGTCTAGAATAAGAAAGTAGGATGCACACATGCTGCCTTGGTCTGCAGAAAATAACAAACCCTTTTGACACAGACTTCGCTAAGGTTCCCAGGCAGGAACTGAATTTAGGTCCTTCTGCCTCAGCCTCCTAAGTAGCAGGGATGACAGCTTGCCCCACCATACCTGACGTCGGTGTAGTTTCACTGGGGCTCTCTGAGTTTTAGTATGTTGTCCAGAGTTCCAAGGTCACCTTCACATCACCTATGTGAACTACCTCTTGTAACTTTTTAAAAATACATGTTGTATTTTTCCTTTTTGATTTTCTAGAGTTCTTTAGATATTAAATATTCTTTCTTTGTGGTGTGCATTGCACGTATTTGTTCCTAGCTTGTCATCTTTTGTTTAGTGCATCTTTTTTGTCCAGCAAATTATTGTGTTTTATTTTCTTCTTTGGCAGGGGTGTGGGTCTTGTTTGTGTTGCCCTGGTTGGTAACACAGGCCAGTGCCCGAACGCATGTCACCCTCCTGCCTCAGCCTCCCAGGTGCTGTGACCTTGCTGTCCACATGGCACCTTTCACCCAGCTGCTTTCCAAGCATGTGTCCCATTTCTCTGCCTTGCCCAGCGTCGCTTCTGGGCTTGGGACGGCGTCTTTCTTCTTGCAGGCTGTGAGGCGACTCCTCCCTGGCGTCGGCCAGCTCTCGTGGGCCGTTTATACCTTGGGTCTGTTCGGGACTCACCCTAATTTGGGGATGAGGGAAGAAGCCAATTTTATCTTTTTCCAAACTGCTACCCGGCTGTTCCACCACATCTTTGTTTCCATAGCCTCTCTCGGGCTCAGCGCCACGCCGCCGGACTCCCACCCGAGCTTTCTGGGCTCTCTGCTCTCCAGCGCTCAGCTGCAGGGGCTCCGCTGCCCACGCGTTTCCCTGCCCAGGTCTCCTGGCCACGCCTGCTGATTTCTTGTGGTGGATGCTAGAGTCCAAAACCCCACTAGCAGCCATGTCATGCTCACACTGAAATCAACAGCTAACTTAGAAAGACGACTTTTTTAATGTTTATTTTTCTTACTCACCAATTTATAATAGAAGGTGGGTGTGGTGGCACACGCCTGTAATCCCAGCACTTGGGAGGCTGAGGCAGGAGGACTGCCATGAGTTCGAAGAAAGCCTGAACTGCTTAGTGGTCCAAAGTGAGACCCTCTCTCTGAAAGACCAAAAAAAAAAAAAAAAAAAGGAAAGAAAGAGAAGAAAACAGAACTTATATCCAATCAGGTTTTTTGTTTTTTTTTTTTAAATCTCAGCCCAGGCTGGCCTGTAGCTCATTACATAGCCCGGTCTGGCCTCAAACTCACAGCCCACCTGCTTCAGCCTCCTGAGTGCTGGGAATACTATGCTCCCTGGTTGAAATTTGCACTCTGTATCTGTTAGATCATATCCACAGGTTCCAGCACTGCAGGTTCGAACCAATCACACATGAAAAATATGTGAGCTGTGTAGGTGTTGCATGCCTGTAATGTAAGCACCCAGGAGGCTGAGGCAGGAGGATTGCAAGTTCAAGGACAGCCCGGGCACCTTAGTGAGACCACATACGTGTAGTCTGTCTTCAGTTTCTTTTCTTTCCTTTTTTTTTTTTTTTTTGCAGAACTGGGAATTGAACTCAGGCCCTCTCACTTGTCAGGGAAGCACTTAATTCTACTGAGCCATCTCCCCTGGCCCTCTTTCCTTTTTTTTTTTTTTTTTTTTTCTTTCGTTTTTAAATTTTTTTTAAATTTATTGTGTGTGTGTGTGTGTGTGTGTGTGTGTGTGTGTGGCCAGCTCAGCCCCCAGGGGGCGGGGCTGGCTGGCATGTGGTGCTGGGGATTGAACCGCGGTCCCTGTGCTTTGCTAAGCTTGTTCTAAGTAGGTGCTTTAGACCACTGAGTCATCTCACCAGCCCCCTTTAATTTTTTTTTTTTTTTGAGACAGGGCCTCACTGTGTAGTATAGGCTGGTCTCGAACTCACTATATAGTCCAGGCTGACTTCAAACTGGCAGTGACACTCCTGCGTCAGCCTCCCGAGTCCTGGGATTAAAGTGTGTGCCCCCACACCTGGCACCAGTCCTTAGTTTTTGTGGGTTCTGTATCTGCAGACTCAACCAACTTCAGATCAAAAATGTTTGGGAAAAACATAGGTAGACCTTTTATTATGCCCTCAACAATATAGTATAACAGTTATTTCCACAGCATTTACAGTGCAGTAGGTTTTAGAAGTCATGTTGAGATGATACAATGTATAGGAGGGACTGGGTGTGGTGGCACACACATATAATCCAGCACTCTGGGAAGCTGAGGCAGGAGGGTTTTCAAGTTCAACTCTAGCTTGGGCAATTAAGTGAGACCCAGTCTCAACAAAAAGGGCTGGAGATGTAGCTCAGTGAGAAGGTCCTGGGTTCAATCCCCAGTGCCTTTGAGGACTGGGTAGGTTTTATGCAAATGCTGCACCTCTTTATTTATAAGTGCATTGAGCCTCTGTGGCTTTTGGCATGGCCGGGCAGAGGGCATTGGTTAGGGAACTAATCTGCTAATACAGAGGGAGGACTGCAATGGTTGACAAGAATTAGGAGACATTTTATGGGCCTCTATGAAGTCCTCTCTACTGAATAGAGTCCTAGGCAAATTGTTCTTACATATCCCTAGAAAAGGAAGAGGTGGCTGAGGTAGCACGTGTCTAGTCCCAGCTGCTCCGGAGGCTGAGGCGGGAGGGTTGCAAGTCTGAGCCCAGCCTCAGCAACCTGGCAAGACCCTGTCTCAAAATACAAATGGGTAGGGGTGGGGTGGGATGTATGATGTAATGACGGAGCGCCTCGGGGTTCTCTATTCCCGGGACTGCAGTCATTTGTTTAAAAAGAGAAACAATGTGAATCGAGTTTGTTTGTGCTACAGATGCCTAAAATAGGGCTGCTCTAGCTCAGCGGCATAAGCACCTGTCTGGCAAATGCAAAGTCCTGAGTTTGATCCCTGGTACTGTGAAAAACAAAACATAAAATAGTTACAGGAGGAGGCCCAAGCTGCAGGAGACTTGGGTGCCTCCAGGGAGAGTGACACTGGCCAGGGCACTTCAAGGAAACCTTCTTTGTCCCGTGCGTGTGCACATTTGTTCTCCAGGCTAGGGTCTTAATATGCAGTTTAGGCTGGCCTGCGGCTCTGGCCTTGAACTAGAAGTGGTACTCCGGCCTCGGCCTCGGGAGTGCTGGGATGACAGGCATGCACTGGCCTATGACTAGGAGCTCTTGGGATGTAACACTCTATTTCTCTGAAAACGTAATGCATGAGCTAGAAAATTAAAGTGAACCAAGCCAGGCCTGAGGGCACACACTTGTCACCCCAGTACTCTGGGAGGATCACTTCAAGGCCAGTGTGTGCAATTTAGTGAGACCCAGGCCCAAAAAATAAAAAAATAAAAGGTTGGGGATGTATTCCAGGGAAGTCCTAGGTTCAGTCTCCAGCGCTGGTGTGTGTGTGTGCGCGTGCGTGAACGTGCATGAGGCCTGACCAGTTTTCACTAGCTCCCTGGTGCTGGGCAGCCAGGTGCAGGCCTTTGCCCACCGCGGGGCATCTCCGGTCTGTCCCTAGGTGGGCCGCACCCCGAATGCTGTCATCGTGTTCGACTGCTCGATGGCAACCATGGTGCGCAGGGCGCTGCAGCGTTACCGGGTGGAGGGCCGCGTGGATCAAGGTGAAGGCGACTGCGGGCCGGCCCTACACCGGCGCCTGGAGACGCACTACACCTGCTGCCCGCCCGTCCTGACCTTCTACCAGCAGCAGAACCTCCTGCGAAACGTAAGTATGCGCTCGGTGTTCCACGCAGCCGGGGGAGCAAGGCCTGGGTCCCCGGCAGACACTTGGGGTGTGTTCCATCCCCTCCACCAAGACCATGCATGCCTGTGAGCCCTGACGCCTACTAGGACCATTGGAACTGAAACCCCAAGTGCACCACTGATGAGCTTGGTTGACACCTCAATAGTTCCAGGCTGGCCAGCTCATTCCAAAGCCTGTCCCTGAGGGGGACAGCCATGGCTCTCCCACCCCTTGGAGCCCACCCAGCCCCACACCTACGGTTCCTGTGTGGCTCCTGAGTGGGGAGGGCCTTGGCCTGGCCGTGAGACTCACGTTCAGCCGGGTGGCCGGCTCTTCCCCAGATTTTAGCAGAAGAAACTCCAGAGAACATTTTTGCCAAGTGCTGTTCTGTCATCGAAAGTCTGCATTGACCAGGGAGGGGCCCCCAAACCACAAGACTGGGGTGCACTGCCTGAGGTGAGACCCCTGCTGCATGTGACACTAACAGGGACAGCAAGCCTCAGAGAAGCCGTGCCACTCCCCGCCCTGCCTGGGCACCTAGGGCCCAACAGCCCCACCTAGAGGCGGCTGCTGTGAGCGGCTCCTAGGTGGGTCTGGGCCTGGGGCCTCCCCCCTCCCCCTTGGTCGCCTCCCTGGAGGACAGTGAGCCAGCCTCTGCCCTGGCAGCTGTGTCCATGGGAACGCCAGTCTCCGGGCCCAAGGGTGCCCCATGCCCCAACTTCCCAGCAGAAACAGCGGCGGCGGTGGGACAGGGCTGTGAGGACGCACTCCAGTCCCCAGAGCCGAGGCAGGCCAGGGAGCCCACCCTCTTCTTCCCCCGGGGCTGGGCTCCTTAGCTGGCTACCCCCACAAACACAACCGCGGTGGGCATGCAGAATTTTTTTTTTAAACAAAAAGCACTTTATTTAACCAAAAAGAAAGAGGGAGGGAAGAGTTTAAGAAAGCACAATGCACCTGCAGAAAACTATTTTATATTTGTTTTCTTAAAAAAAAAACAAAAACAAAAAAAACAAAAACAAAAAAACCACAAAGCAAGTAGATTTCCAATCACCATTACCAGGCTTTTTCTTTTTTAAACAACATCTATAAAGAACAAACATCTGCTTCAAAACTCTACAGGGGAGGGCAGACAGACAGCACCCGGCAGACAAGGGGAGGTTTTGTTATCATTTATTTGTGAAGTTAAAAACGAGCGATAAAAAGTAGAAACTGCCATACAATTTTTTGTTTTTGTTCTCACTGTTTTCAGTTTCAATCTCGTCTCGAACAGAAGACAACAGACCAGAGCAGTCCTGGGGGGGGGGGGGGGGG